GCCTAAAGTTATGCCATTAAGTCTTAAGGTTAATGACCTTCTCTTTTATTTATTTATTTATTTATTTATTTATTTATTTATTTATGAGACGGAGTCTTGCTGTTGCCCAGGCTGGAGTGCAGTGGTGTGATCTCTGCTCACTGCAACCTCCGCCTCCCAGATTCAAGCGATTCTCCTGCCTCAGCTTCCCGAGTAGCTGGGATTACAGGCGTGTGCCACCACGCTCGGCTACTTTTTTTGTAGTTTTAGTAGAGACGGGGTTTTACCATGTTAGCCAGATGGTCTTGATCTCCTGACCTCGTGATCCGCCCACCTTGGCCTCCCAAAATGCTGGGGATTACAGGCTTGAGCCACTGTGCCCAGTCCCTGACCTTCTCTTTAAAAAAAAAAAAAAAAAAAAAGAGCAAATATTCTGGAGAAACACAACATATTATTATCCTTTTAGAATAAAATTGTTCGTTGGAGTTTTCCTAACCCCACATTTGGCTGAAAGCAGAGTCTTGAAGTTATTGGATCCTAGGACAGGTAATTTTTATAGGTGCTGAGTGACCGAGAGGTTGATCACATAGAGAGAGAATATAAGAGAAGCCCAGAAATAGGAGGATCTGGATAGTTCAGGAAAATGGAAGAAGTGGGAGACTGGCTGGAGCCACTCATGCAATTTTCCATGGAGAATGAGTCGTGTTGTCTCTGTCCTCCTAGAAGGTCTCTGAGTCCCAGCGTTTCCCCTCTGCTCCATTTGTCCAGCTGACTGAATGCTTCTAATTCAGGTAACAGCAGAATTTGGAGCATGATGAAACTAGTTGCAAAATTCTCTAGATCATGGCATGAATAAAGCTTAGAGGTTGCAGGACCATAGCCTGTTGCCAACTGTCCTTGAAATGTGTCCTCTAGGTTTTAAAAGGCAAAGGATGTGCAGCTTTCCCCCTCCATGTGACAAAAGTACCTGATTCAGTGACAATAAGGATTTTAGAATCAGAAAACCAGGGGGCAAGCCCTAGTTTCTTTCCTTGTCAAGTGGAATGGCATCCAACAAGCACGACTGTTTCCTGCTCTGCAAGACAGGCATAAAAATCCCGGATTGTCTCTTTCATAGGGAGGTCAGGCTGGGCTTTACCCAGTTGTCAATAAGTAGAGTTTGCCGATTGTGACCACAGCTGTGGATGGAGAGTGTCAATTTCCTCATGAAAGGGCAGCCTATTCGGTGGCTCTGCCTCTGTTGTCCCTGGTGAGGGCAGTGGTCTCTAAAGCAACGCTTTGAATGTAAGAGCTGCTAATCAAAGAACAAGTGACATAAATTAGTCCAAATGAACAAACGGTGAAGGCCTTCTCATCTCTACTTGAGCTCATTCCAGGACGTGGGATACTGTGGTCCAGCCAGGCTGTTCACAGGGATTATCCGTTCTGGGACATCACGTATCACTAAGTGTGCCCAAGGGCATGGGATGGGTAACAGTTCATCAAAGTTTCATTACATAAGCCCCTTCTGCAGGAAAGGACATGAGAACTTGGACACCATTGTCTGTCTCTAGCACTGATCTTCCTAGAAACTCTTCTTTGCCACTAGAAAGTATTTTTTCATTTTCTGGTTAAAAAATAAAAAAATACTAGTGTAAAATATCATTGGCTATCTCCAAAATGACCAAATGAAGGCAACTAACCAGAGGACTCGGGTAAATTTGGTGGATTTGGGTATCCTATGCATTGATACGGGGGATATAAATGGACAGAAAAAACAATGGGTAATATTCATTGAAAGCCTCTGTGTGCCAGACCCTGCATGGAGTGGCTACACATATTACTGCATTTAATTCTCATAACAACCCCCTGGGGTAAGTACTATTATTACACCCACTTTACAGATGAGGAAACTGAGGTTCAGGGAAGTCAAGAAACATTCCTATGCAGTTAGGAAGTAGCAGGGCTGAGACCGAAAACTAGCACTATTTGATTCCAAAGCTCATCCTCTTAACCCCCACACAATTATTTACCTCTTTACCTTGTCTTCTCATCTTGTAATTTCCAATCAGTCTTACCAGAAAACGTATCCCTCTTGCCCTTGAATTACCCATGTTTCCTTTCTGCTCTTGGGCAACCCTGTGTTAAACTCTAGAGCGAGCCTCTGCCACACTGGAAGGAGATTGGCATTTGGCGTTGAGCTGTGGCCCACGCAGGCTTGTGAGCAGACTGGGCACCCTCTCTGGCAATGACTAAGGGTGCTGCAGATGCCCCTGCTATCTGTAGGGTGGGGACATGGAGGGCAGAGCTTAAAGGGCCAGGGATGAGATGCCCTGTCACCATGAGGCTCTTCCTGAAGCTGGCAGGGGTCCTGCCCCACAATGTCAGAGCTGTCTCCTGAGCCCCAACTCCACAGGTCATCCAGGGGCAGAGCTGAAGTTTCTGTTCTCACTTTCCCCTTCTTCAAAGTGGGCATAATGATGTGATACCAAGGGACAAAAGGATAAGGAAATGTATTTTGCCAGTTGTTTCAAAAACCTCAGAATCCAGCCCATGCTTCGTCCGTGCAAGCCCTCTTGTAGAGGCACTCCTGGCTGCCACTCCTCATCTTTCTCAAAACAGCGCCACATCTCTGGGAGGCCATCAGTGAAGAACAAGGCTGGCTTAAAGTGCCCTCCCTCTGTGCATTCTGCTGTTTGCATGCATTATTAGTGCAAGAATGCCATTAGTGCATTTAGACCAATTTACTTGTCATTCTCCCTCTGCCTAGACTGGAGGCTCTCTCTGGGTCAGGACTACCTCAGTATCAGCCCTTAACAAATACTTTGCGCATTTTGATGATCTGAGCCATTAAACTGAATTGAAGAAAAAAATCAACATCCACTTCTAAGCGTGGCAGTGGCTATTGTATTTTGGCTGTTTGTTTTAAATACCCAACTCTTCCACCTTTTAAGCAGACCTGTTCTTCGGAAATTTTAGATGTCTTCGGAAGTTTCCTTGCCTCATTCAGATTACTGGGTCATGATTTAGTGTTCCAGGGAATTCCAGGGAAAAAAATTCATTTTGCTTCTGTAACCCCTAATGTCCACTGCCCTGATAAAGGATCCCAGCTGTGACAAGGAGATTATTTACTTGAAACTAATGAGCAGAGCTAATTACTGCAGTGGACTTGGGCAGGGACAGAGTGGGACAGAGTGTACCGGAGCAGGCTGCTGGCAACCGTTCCAACCCTCCAGTTGGCAGCTGAGCCAGGAGCCCCCAGACATGTCAGCGCCTTTTAGTCTTCCAATTGCCTGTTCAATAGCAAACAGATTTTAAGATCATGGTTTGGGGCTCAATTGTCTGACAGGAGCCAAGAATGAATTTCTGCGGCTTGTTCTTTTCCTCACTGGTTCCAATTTTTGTAAAATATTATAAGAATTAAAGTCTGACTTTTTTTGAGGGTGTGGGATTTGGGATCCACCCCTCCCTTCCACGGCTTCATTCCTCACAACTCCTACCATGGTTCCTCTCCCCGAGAGAGAGCAGGACACCTCTTTCTCACCCCCTCCCCACCAACACACACACAAATGCCTGGTTCTTAGGGCTGAGGCTTCTCTGGGCTAGAATATTCTCTCTGCCTGGAGTCTGAGCCACGTAAGCTCAAGCTCACCTGCCAACAAGTTGTGCCACTGACCCCACCTCATGATGTTTATGCCTTTATTTGGCATTCTGAGCTGTGTTTGTACCAGATTCCAAATCGCATTATATCCCAGGTAACAAACCTGCCCACGTACCCCCCTGAATCTAAAAATAAAAGTGAAAAAAACTCATTATAATTAACTATGTGGGACATCCAAATTCTTTCCTGTTGTGGAATTTTGTTAAACTGGGACACGAGAGGAAGCCATAGTGGTATGAGGTGAAAATGAAGAGTTCATGTACTATAAAGTGCCGAGTTCAGCACCTGGCACCAGTGATGTACCTTTTTTAGACATTTAATTTCAGTACGCCTCTTTAGAGCATAGACCGTGAAGCCCAGTCCTGTTTTCTATGCTGTATGAGACACACACACACATGCATTAACCATGATCTGTGCTCTCAAAGGCTCTGCTTTGCAGTGGGGAGTGGCAGGACACACAGGCATGGAAGGTAGGAGCAGTTCTAAGATGATGCAGGGGCTGCAGGAGAGAGACGGTGTGAAGAGAGGGCGAAGGAGTGCTGGGATTCAGTGAGCAAAGGCCAGCTCTGGGTGGCGTGAGCTGGAAAAGGCTTAATGGGGAAGAATGGTTGAAAAATATAGACTCTGTTTTGCCAGAGACCATTGGAGAAGGGACTCTGGGCATGAGAAAGGGTGTGTGGAAGCCCAGAGACAGTTACTATGGCAACAAAGGATGCCAGGACCACTGAGGTGCAGGGTCTGATGGGCATTGGTAAGTTCTGTAGGAGATGAGGGGATGATGGCACCTGGGGATGCATCATTAGAGAAGCTCTCAGGGCCCTGAGCAAGGATGACTTCATGAGAGGGGTTAGCAGATGGCCAGCATTTTGATATCCACGTAAGGAAAACATTGGTTTTCCTTGAAAGTATGGCATAAGAAGCATCTCCCAGCTTAATCTAGAAGCAGGCAGAGGAAGGGAGCCTCTGTGTTGGAGAAACGTGGCCAAAGTGTGCCCTGGAAAATGGCAGGCAGCTAAGGTGACAGTGGAAGAAAGAGGTGAAAATGGCCCACAACAAAGGCAAGTTAGCACCAAGAATTGGAGCTTCACAGGACAAACCACAGGGGTTGTTGCCAGAAGCTCTGGCGCGAACAAAAGTGGGCACCTAGTTTTTGTTTGTTTGTTTGTACTGAATTAGTAAACACACTCTGTGCTTTGAATCCTTAAGGACAAATAAGGTATTGTCATGGATCTAAGTTCTTGAATTTTTTCAAAAAAATTTAGAGATTTTTATTCCATACAATTGAGTCAAGTGATAGGTCAAAATAAGGGGGAAAAAAGTTGAGGAATCAGTACAAAAATATGACTCCTATATTAAATATTTTAACTTAAAACATCAAATGTGCATTTATCTACTAATATTTTAATATTGAGTCTAGGCTTTTTCTTTGACCACAGATATGCTGGTTTGAGCTCCTTCTCTTCTTTCTTGTATGAGCCACATTAATAATGGATCCAATAATGGCCACAAATAAATCCTTTGCAACTCCTCACATTGAGAGGTGGAGTCCAATTTTTCTTTGCTTGAATCTGTGCTGGGTTTTTTCTTAACCAGTAAAATGCAGTGGAAGTGGCATTCTGAAATTTCCATGGCTGGGGTTGAAACTCTCCACTGGGTTCCTTGGAATCCTTGCTGAGAACCCTGAATGACCATGCAAGAAGTTTACTACTTAGAGTTCACATGCTTAAAAGGTTACATATTGGTGCCAGCTGAGCTCAGCCTCCCAGCCATCCCCATCAAGGCATCAAGGTGCAAGACATGAGTGAGGCCATCTTGGGCCCTCCAGCTTAGCCCATCCACTATCAAATGACCTTTGTTGATACCATATGGAACAGAAAAATTGAATGGCTGAGCCCTGTGTGAATTCCTAATTCACAAAATCGTGAGATATAATAAAATGGTAGTTTTATTATATTCATATATGTTTATCCTTAACATTGATTTTAAGCTACCAATGTTTAGAATAGTTTGCTGTGTCACAGATGCCTGGAACTTTGTTGTAGAGAAGGCTGGGCACATGTTAACAGAGCTGAGGGAGACCTAGAGGTCAGTTATTTCAACTCCCTGATTTACACATAAGAATTCTGAATATTGTCTGAGGCTTCCAGAAACAGACCACAAAATGCCGCAATCACATAGAAGGTGCTGGAGCTTCCTTACTTCAGCTTTACCTCCCCTGCCCTTGACGGTGAAGGGTCTCTTGTGTTTACCTTTCCTGGATAACCGCACTGGAAATGTGCCCATAAGCAGAGTAAGATGTATGAATGGTCAACCATGTCATCTTGTCCATATGAAGTTGTTCCAAATACCTATTTTTTAGCGACAGTGTCTATCTCCCAGATCAACAGAGAGCTAGCTCTCTGAGGTCTAGGACTGCATTTTCTGTTTGTCTGGCTTCACTCCTCTTTCCATTCCTTCTAGAGGGCCTACTATGGAGAGGGTCCCTCTACCCCACTGGGGGCAGCATCCCAGCCTAAACAAGGAGATTCTTAGTCTATATACTCATAGACAATCCCATGACAGTTCCGGTTCCATAGGCCTGTGACCAGTGAAGTCACACAGGGCCCCGTACACAGAACCCTGTACTCAATTTAGTATTCTGTTGTTGCCGTCTTGAAATTCTTAATACATTTTGAACAAGCAGCCCTGGCTTTTCATTTTGTACCGGGCCCTGAACATTAAGTAGTTGGTCCTGTTGGTAACTCATACTCGTATGGCGGGACCAGGAGCCTCAGCTATTTCATTAGTTCAGCCTGTACTATCTCACTGGGGACCAGGTGGAAAGGCTGCGTCAGCAAGGAAGGACAAACCACATGAAAACTGAATACTGTATTCATGTTTCCCTCTGTCTGACAGATCCCCTCAAAGACCTTAGGAACAGATACTCCCAACCCCTGTAATTAACAACAAGCCCTAATCCTCTGGTAGAATTAACCAGGTGTGAGGGATGCGAGGCTGGGAACGGGGCTGGAGACAGTGTCCTGTAGCTCAGGCCTAAAACAACAGAACCTAGAATGTGCTGACTCTCAGCTCTTCTTCCCTAGGAACCAAGCTGAGGAAGCTCCTTCTCCACCAGCTGGGTTTTTTCAACTCGGGGAGATAGGAGGGGACAGGGAGGAGCAGGGGTGTCAGGCACGCAAAGCTTCTAGAATAGGCCAGGGAGGAAATGAAGAGCTAGGACCCCAACTAGAGCCTTGAAAGTGTAGGAAGCTTGGCTGGACTGAAGGGGACCCACAACCCCTCCTGCAGCAAACGTGAATCCCACGCCTCATAACAAATCATTGCACACGTGCTCATCATTTTTAGCGCTCTCCTCTGCCTGCCATTGACTTGCCCTTTTGCATGTCTGCCCCCGTCCAAACACAGCTGTCTCTTTTTTGTCTACCAGCTGTGTCTCAAAAAATCAGAAAGGCTGGGTTAGAGGCCTAGCTGATGTTTCTTTGCCTTTTCTCTGTCTCTTTATTGTCTGAGAACCATGATACTCAAAGTGTGGTCCCTGAACTAGCAGTACCAGCATCACCTGGGAAATTGTCAGAAATGCTGATTCTTGAAGCTCTTGAATCAGAAACTTTAGGGTGTGGCTGGAAATCTGATTTGTTAACAAACCCACCAGGTGAGGCTAATGATCACTCCAGTTGGCGAACCACTCTCTTTGAAACCTACGACAGCAATAAGGCCCTTTACCAGCCCCCAAAATTTCAGAGTTGACACCTGTGTGATGGATGAGGCCTTATTTTTGAAAAGGAAAGAAATAGTAACTTTTAGGTACAACACCCCTCATCCACGCACACACAAAAGTACACACAAAGTGGAGGAATGCCTGGCTCCTCCTTCCTCCTCTGTTTACCATCTGTTAGCCATGCTTTGAGTTGTTTGAACAAGAGAATCAGTGTCAGAATAAACTTGCTTGTAGGGTGTCTGGAAGGCAGGTGCGGCCTGCCACTTCTAATGCAAGCTGAGAACAAACACGGCGTACTGAGCCCAAATCGGCCTTCTGCTGCTAAAGACAGAGGTAGAATTTATGTTTTGCTGGGATGATGCCCCCTAATGTGCCCCCTAAGGCCTTACCTTGGGGCCTTAATTAGAAGCAGCAGTGGCCCTCGGGCCTGCTGAGCTTCTCTTTGATGTGATTGCACAAAAGAGCTGAGATGGAAAACTAGACCTTTTTGTTATTTCACACATTCTAAAAAGCTTTTTCGTAGAAGCCTCATTCTTGTTTCTTATTTGCTGTCACATGCATCAGGATAATTTTAAAAAGATTTATACAGGATAAACAATTGGTAAAATCTGTCTTTCCCTTGTTTGTTCTAGTAGTATCAGGTTCAATTTATGTTATCTCTGCCCCTCCTCCTTGTCCTCACAAAAGCCCTCCTATCGGCAGCCACCTCCCATTTAGTTACCACCGCCTCCCAGTGGGTCCCTTTTCCTTTTCCTTGGGTCTTTCTAGAGCTATCCTAGTGTTTAGTATTGGAAGCTTGAACATTTAAAAATATATTCAATATGAAAGTGAAAAATATCCACTTAAAATGTGGGTGTTTTAATTGCATAATTGCACCCCTCTGGATTGACCTGATAAAGCTAAAAAGCTGTGCAGATGTAGTTGGCTTGCTTTATATGCATAGAAGCAATGGAGGACACGCCACAGGCTGTTAGACACCACCAGTAACCTGGATGAATGCGTAATAAGGAGGAGGAAAGAGATGTGACTATGTTCCTGGATCTCCCACGTGTGTTGTGTAAATAAATTCATGAGCTCAGCCCAGTGGAGTTCTTGGCTCAAAGCAAGTCTTAATTAACTGTGTACTGTGTGGCACTTCCTGCATAGCAGAGTAGCCTTACCCTTGGTTAACAGGAAACTTATAAGAACTGATGTTTTCTGACATATCAAGGGGGTCTTGCACCTGGACCTGTGGAGCTGTGTTGATCAGAAAGATAACTCTCGTTGTTCTCTGTCTTGACTTCTCTGGGCTTTCAAATGGTGGCTTATTCTTGTTTGTTTGTTTTTGAGACAGAGTCTCATTCTGTCCCTGAGGCTGGAGTGCAGTGGCACAATCTCGGCTCACTGCAACCTCTGCCTTCTGGGTACACGCAATTCTTGTGCATCAGCCTCCCTAGTAGCTGGGATTACAGGTGTGTGCTACCACGCCTGGCTAATTTTTTTGATTTTTAGTAGAGACAGGGTTTTGCCATGTTGGCCAGGCTGGTCTCGAACTCCTGGCCTCAAGTGATCTACCCTCCTGGGCCTCCCAAAGTGCTGGGATTATAGGCATGAGCCACTTCGCCCAGACTTGTTTGTTTTTAAAATTCATTTAACTTCCTTTAAGCATAAAAGGGAATTTATTGGAAGAGTCCTGGAGTAGCACACAAAACTCAAGGCCAAGAACTACAGCCGGAGCTACATGAAGGCCTGGAACCAGGAAGTGAGTGCAAAACCTTCAAAAACCTATTCCAGAGGTTATTTCATCCTCACTTTTCTCTCTCTCTCACTTGGTCACCTGGACTCTTTGCTGCTTTTTTCATATTTGATCTCTGCTGCTTTTTCTCTGTAGACCAACTTTCACTTCCTTGGCATGAGCAGGGACAAACATGGCGGCCACAAAATGGTAGACTTTGCTGCCTACTTTGAGGGGGAGCCTTGAGGATGTTCCAGCACCCAATAGTTGGTGGAGAAGCTGAGAAGACTAGGTTAGGAAAGTTGTGACATAGAATGTGGCCAGGCCAGAGTCATGTGGTACCATTCTTGCTGTGGTTCATTTCAGCAGACAGGGATTTGGCTGTTAAGAAAAATTATCTCAGATTTGGACATAAGGCAAAAGAAGGGCTTTGTTTCTTTCAATGTCATGTTGGAGTGGTGTTTAATCCCTTTAGGGTTTTTTTTTTTTTTGAGATTGCTGTGGCCCAGGCTGGAGTGCAGTGGTGTGATCTCAGCTCACTGCAGCCTCTGCCTCCTGGGTTCAAGTGATTCTCCTGTCTCAGCCTCCTGAGTAGCTGGAATTACCAGTGCCCGCCATCACGCCCAGCTAATTTTTTGTATTTTTAGTAGAGATGGGGTTTCTCCATGTTGGCCAGGCTGGTCTTGAGCTCCTGACCTCAAGTGATCCATCTGCCTTCTCCTCCTAAAGTGCTGGGATTACAGGCATGAGTTACTGGCCCCAGTTCCCCTCAGGGTTCTTTAAGTATCTAGGGGAATGTACCTTTATTTGATTCGCCTTCTATCACTTATTAAAGGCCCTGACTCTGTGAAGTTACATGTTAACTTGTTGACCTTTGCAGTAGAGATGCAAATAATTTCTGTCTGGTAGGAAAGATAACCAGACATTATGGTTTTAGTTTCTAGCAGCACACAGCACATGAGTCAGTTTTGTATCTAATTTAACAATCTTATTCCAGGTGGGGCAAAGTGGCTCATGCCTATAATCCCAGCACTTTGGGAGGCCAAGGCAGGCAGATCACTTGTGGTCCGGAGTTTGAGACCAGCCTGGCCAACAAGGAGAAACCCCATCTCTACTAAAAATACAAAAATTGGCCAGGTGTGGTGGCATGTGCCTGTAATCCCAGCTACTTGGGAGACCAAGGGAGGAGAATGGCTTGAACCTGGGAGGCAAGGTTGCAGTGAGCTGAGATTGTGCCACTGCACTCCAGCCTGGGTGACAGAGGGAGACTCTATCTCAAAAACAAAAAACAAAAAACCTATAAAAAAAAAGGGAAAGATAATCATTAAATTCAGGATAATGGTTAGCTTTGTGAAGGGTGGGAGGGTATAGTGAATGAGAAGGAACATTCAGGGATTTTCTAGGGTACAGGCAATATTCTGTTTCTTGACCTAGTTGGTAAGTTGGTAGTTACTTGAAAGCTCTCTTTTTTTTTTTTTTTTTTTTTTTTTTTTTTTTTTTGAGATGGGGTCTCTCACTCTGTTGCCCAGGCTGGAGTGCAGTGACATGATCACAGTTCACTGCAGCCTTGACCTTCCTGGGCTCATGTAATCCTCCCACCTCAGCCTCCTGAGTAACTGGGACTACTGGTACATGCCACCACACCCGGCTAATTTTTGTGTTTTTTGTAGAGACAGAGTTTCATCATGTTGCTCAGGCTGGTCTTGAACTCCTGGGCTCAAGAGATCCACTTTGTTTGGCCTCCCAAAGTGCTAGGATTGAAAGCTCATTTTAAAATAAATCATGGACTATGTGTTGTTTTGTATAAAATAAAATACTTTTATTTGTAAAATAATAAAATACTACATATCTAAATTTGTGAGATGCAACTAGAATGGCATTTGGAGGGAAATTTAAAGCCTTAAATGCTTATAGTATAAAATAAGAATGGCTAAAACTCAAGGAACTGAGCATCTGATTTAAGATGTTAGTAAAAGAACATTAAAATAACCCAAAGAAAATAGAATGAGGAAAACAATAAAGACTTGAGGAGAAACTAATGAAACAGTAAACAAATATAGACTAAAATATAAAATAATGATTAAAACAAATAATTAGTTCTTTGATATGAGTAATAA